TTCCCTACAGCTTTGCAGAGCTAATGTCTACTCATCCTTCTAAAGGCAGCACAAACTATCCCTTCAAGAGGCCTTTCTGAGCGGCCCCACATCTGCAACGCACACATCACCTCTGGGCTCCCTCAGCCCCTGAGAAGACACCATTCTAGAACTTACCACACTGGACTCCGCTCCTGACACCTGTGGCTCCTCTGGAGAACTCCACATGGAGGACTCCTGGGGAATGGGCCACTTTTTCTTTTTTTTTAAATTTCTTGGCACCATCAGGTGAACTGAAGCTATTAGTGGAATGAATGTTACCTCCGCTGTGGACAGAAGTCAGTTGGTGTGGACAGGTGGTGCTCTACCTGGGCATTGCTTAGGAAGAATCAGAAATCAGATCAGTCTTCTACTTCCTGAACTGGGCGTTTCTGGATGGCCCTCTCCCCCTGCTCCAGTGTGAATGAGCCATCGGCATCTTCAGATGATCTGCAATCTTTCCCAAGTTAATTATCCACCAACTGAAAATGAATGAGCCATCGGCACCTTCAGTTGGAGTCAGATGATCCGCAATCTTTCCCAAGTTAATTATCCACCAACTGAAAATCTATCAGTAACTACATCATTTGGTAAGCATTTACTATCCACTGTATGTCATGTCACTGTGCCGAGTGCTGAGGACATATGATGGTTTTGCTCTCAAAGAACTCCCAGCCAGTCAGGTGGGCAGATGGGCACTTACCTGTAAGTGACTGCTCCATATTCCCCGGCCAAGGCCACTCGACTAGCTGGGACTAGCTCCTGGCTCATTTTGCTAAAGATGGCTTCGCTGGAGGAGCCCGCCTGAAACACATTCATAATGAATCCAGGGTTACACAGACCCGAGCAGAATGGCAAGTCCAAGTCCTTAGAATATGGACCAGGACAGCTAATGCCTAGAATTGGCTTTGACCTTCAAGATAAGATAACCTCTCTGAAGTGGCAAACCAAGATTAGTTTCTCCTGGGAGAGAAGGCAGAGGTGTCACCCATGTCAACTCAGAGGACGCTTCCTACACCTCAAACTCTTGGCAGCTCAGGTGTCAGGGCAGGAAGAGACATCAAGATGGTCATGGCATGCGACCCTTCTTCCTGCCATAGATGTCTCCGGTCACAACCAGGCTCATCCTTGCAGGCTCCCTTCAGCAGACATGCCAGAACCTGACAAGCCCACCTTGGATGAAGTTGTGCTGCTCCACAGAAAGGCCTGCCCATCCCCCAGTAAGAAACAAACGAACAAAAAAAAACAAAGAAGAGGAAAAGCACCTTACTTTCCTCATTTCATTATGAGTGGCTCTCAGGACCTGTGGAACTCGCTAGGTATCAAGAATATCCTCTAAGAATTGTCTTTAGCTTTCGTGAATGAAATAGCTGTCATGCCCCAAATGGTGGAAGGTTTGATGCTAAGACTGGAAGTTTTATAGGCCAAGGATCTGGCTACTTGTTAGCTCTTAACCCAGCTTGGAAGTGTAATAGACTAACAACCGTCATTCCACAAATAAAACAGGAAACTGCATTCTTCGGTGTCCAGCATGAGCTGGGTGGCTATTTTCTACCTTAGCCTTAAATAGATGCTCTGGGCAGGAGAAAGAACATCAGGTTTTGATGAATTTCCTAAACCCACCTATGTGATGGCAAGGTAAAGAAACTACTCTAAATAGACAGCAATCTTTGTTTTTGTGGGAAAAAAAGATTCAATTTCCCAAAGCCTTGAGTCTTGCAAGAGTTCAGAGCAGGGAGGTGAGATGGAAGGGTGGGTTTAGAGGCAAGGAGAATGACGCTTCCTCTCCAGTGAGGCAGGTCAAAGGAAGGAGCGAGAATGGTGGTCATCGTAGTCCTGAAATTAACTAATTGATCAGCCAGGACTGACAGGTGAGAAACCAGTGGTTTAGGCACTTGCTACTCAAGGTGTGGTTCACAGACCAGAGGCAGGGCATCCCCTGGGAGCTTGTCAGGAAGGCAGAGTCTCAGGCCCCACCTCAGACCTGCTGATTAGAATCTGCCTTTTGACCTGATCCCCAGGTGATTCGTGGACATATTTCATTTTGAGACCTGCTGCTTAACACTCCTGTGTGAGAGGGTGAGGAAGCCTAACTATATAGACACTTGGACTGTGGAGAATTTGTCTTTTCCTACCTCCTTCTCGGGGAAAAGCTGTCATCAGTTCCCCCATGATTGGCGCTTTGAGAAATGCCTACTTTAAAGATGAAAGGCCCAGCCTTACCGAGATGTTCCACATCATCTTGATGGCCAAGGGAAAGGCAGGGGACTGTGGGGCTCGCTCCTCTTCTCCTCGTGGGATGATATCTGGGCCTCTCTCTGGAAGAAGCCTGGTGCTCTCTGACACCTCCAGTTTCCGGGGCAACACAGGCATGGTGGCTTCATACACAGCAGCACTGCAGCCCTTGCCAATGGACTGTCCTATCAGATACTCCTCCAGCTGGAAGCCCTGCCAGCGTCTAGTGTCCAGCGGGTCAGGGAGCAGCTTGTTTTTCTGTGTAAAAATTGCCTGCGAAGGGAAAAAGCATGCGCTGTGAACCAGGGAGACTAGAAAGGCTTAAGTAAAGGGAAATAGGGGAGGGGAGGTATGATGGGCAAGGTCTTCACCAACGAGATCGAGAACTATTCTAAACACAACCAAATTAAGTTTTACTGCTCAGCTTAGGCTCAGGCCATCCTGCCTTTCACATTATTCAGAATAATTTTTCTCAAACGCTGTTGCTTCACTGCAGTCACAGAGACAACACAACACAGAACATTAATTAAGAGGTCAGAACTTCCAAATTCTGCAGCTAGCACACCACTCCTTTGCTGCCTGTCAAGCCCCTAGCACAATGTTGGCGGTTTCTGATTATGGAGGCAGTTCTCTCTGCAGACCATGGCAGGCAGCTACTAGAAGGTTACCAGGAGCTGTAGATGGGCAGGCGTATGTAGTCGACAGCCACCCCTCCACTTGTGAATGACCTCAGGTTGCTTTTGCAGACAAGGGGGTGAAATCAGGAGGATCCCTGGAGCTGAGTCATTAAATCCTGTCTTCCTGTCTCTACCTCTTAGGAATCTGGCGGGCCCCCTCTGTTTTCAGAAAGGAAATAGGAGTACAAGTATTTTGATGGAAATAGATGGAAGTGCAGGTGCTGGTGGGGATGCACCAGGAAAGAGCCCACTTCCCAAACATCAAGTCCTTTCCTACTTCAGGGAGGTAACATCGTTTGCCCAGTCACCAGGCTCCACCTCAAATCCTGTCTGATCTGCTACTCCCTTCCTTTCTGTGGTTAGTCACTCACCTCCAGACTTTCCCATTCTCACGTCATCCCTTCACCTGCTTCTGAGCCAGATTAAACTACACTGTGTCCATGTGTCATTCTTCTGTTCAAAAACTTAACCAATAGGTTATTCAGTGCCTTGTGCTGGTACTTCCTGTATGTGAAAGCTGTTTAGCCAGGCTGGTCCGTGCACTACCCACACTTACCTTTCATATGCCTCCCTCTAAACCTTTGCTCACACTACTCCTCCCACCACCTAATTCTTTTGTATTGCTCTGCCTGGCTCATCCATCAGGTCCCCTCTGTATAGCCAGCCCTGACGACCCAGCCTACAGCAGCCTTTCCATCTGGAGGATTCCTAAAGCACTTAGTATCTATAAGCTAATACACCTTTCACGATAACTTCTACTTTTTAAAAAAATGAAAGTCTATCTTGTCTATTCGTTTCTAAATTCCATGGAGCAGAAGCAGTATTTTGTAGAGCAATCCTTTTTCAACCATAGTTTTGAGAATGAGATATATATTTTTTTAAGTTTTTATTTTGAAGTAATTATAGACTCAGAGGAAGTTGCAGAAAGATAATACAGAGTGTTAATTCAATTTTCCCTAACAGCGACATCTTATAAAACAGCAGTACGATATCAAAACTGGGAAAGTGATATTGGTACACTACTGTTAACCAGAGCTTACTCAGTTTTCACCATCTTTTTTAACCTACACTCGTGTGTGCGTGTGTGTGTCTCTATGCCATTTTATCTCAGGTAGAGATTCGTGTAATCGCCACCACAATCAAGATACAGAACTGTTCCATCACCACAGAACTCCTTTGTGTTACCTCTTTGTATTTGCACCACCCCCACCCAGTCCCTATCCCCTGGCATCCACTGATCTGTTCTCTATGTCTACAGTTTTGTCATTTAAAGAATGTTATATAGATGGAATCCCACATATAAGCTGCTGGGATTGACTTTTCACTAAGCATAACGCCCTTAAGGTTCATTCAGGTCCTTACCTGAATCAATAGTCAATACCTTGTTATTTCTTGCTATTTCATTGTATGGATATATCAGAGTTTGTTTAACTATTCATCTGCTGAAGGACATTTGGGTTGTTTATATTTTGCCATTATGAATGAAGCTGCTATGATTCATGTAAAAAAGTATTTACTATTTTAAAAGTAGTAAAATATACATAACATAAAACTGACCATTTTAACCATTTTTAAGCGTACAGTTCGGTGGCATTAAGTACATTCACACTGCTGTGTGACCATCACCACCGTCTAGCTCCAGAACTTCTTTCATCTTACAAAACTTAAATTCTACACCCGTTAAACAACAACTCCCCATCCCTTCTCCTTCCAGCCCCTGGCAGCCCCCAGCCTACTTTCTGTCCCTATGAATTTGACTACTCTAAGTACCTCGCTTAGAATGGAATCCTACAGTATTTGTCTTTTTGTGACTGGCTTATTTAACTCAGCATAATGTCCCCGCGGTTCATTCATGTTGTAGTGTGTGTCAGAATTTACTTTTTTAAGGCTGAATAACATTATGCTGTATGTATATACCATATCTTGCTTAATCCATTCTTCCATTGATAGACGCTTGGGTTGCTTCCACCTTCTGACTATTGTGAATAATTCTGCTATGAACATAGGTGTACAAATATCTTTTCAAATCCTTGCTTTCAGTTCTTTGGGGTTTGTAACCAGAAAGAGAATTGTTATGTCACATGATAATTCTATTTTTAATTTCTTGGGGAGATGCCATATTGTTTTCCATAGCAGCTACTCATGTACAGGTTTTTATGTGAACGTAAGTTTTGATTTCTCTGGGTAAATGCCCAAGACTGCAATAGCTGGGTCATGTGGTAATGCATGTTTATTTAGCTTTGTAAGAAACTGCTAATTATTTTCCAGAGTGGTTGTACCATTTTATATTCTCACCAGCAATCTGCATCTTCACCAGCATTTAGTATTATCACTATTTTTTATTTTACCTGTTCTATTAAGTATGCAGTGATACCACATTGTGTTTCAATCTGCATTTCCTTATGGCTAGTGATGTTGAACATCTTTTCTTATACTTATTTGGCATCTGTATCTCCTCTTCATGAAATATACACTCATGTCTTTTGCCTATTTTATAACCAGGTTTTTTCCCCACATGCCTCCATCTAAAAGGAGCAGCCACCATTCTGTGGTCAGACACCACATGGAATTTTAGCATTAGTTACCAGAACTGGTGATTTCTTTTTTCAAAGGAAGTCAAACACCTGAATTTTAAATTTACTCATCAGCTAATTAAAATTTTAAGACACAGGAGGGTGAAATGTGAGAAAAGGACATGCAGATGGTAAGCTTAGGAGGATCAAGCTCTTCAGTTAAAAAAAGCCTCCATGATTCTAAGCAGGATTATCAAATTTCTCACCCTTGACTTCTGCCAGCTAAGCTGTAGCAAGACAAAGACATCAGATGGGGACTAGGCCAGATGTCACCTGTCATCCCAAACTAGCCAGAGCTCAAATCTGTGACTCTGGTAACAAGAACTGGGCTGGAAACCAGGAAACATGGGAGACACTGCTTGGTCCTTAACCAGCTGTGTCCTTGGGCAAGTCACTCCATCTCCCACTACCTCAGCCCCAAATTATAAATTGCAGGGTCTGTACTAACTCCAAACCCCAGGAAGACTGACCTCCGGGAAGAGGAGGGAATTCTGCCAGCAGATGGCCTTCAGACTTGAATTCCAACAATGGCTCTTCCCTGGGTCTCCAGCCTGCCTACCTACCCCGAAGATTTTGGACTTGCCAACCTCCAAACTGCAGAGCCAATTCCTTAAAATAAATCTGTCTGCAAACACGTCCTATTGATTCTGTTTCTCTGGAGAACCATAGTACAGATTTTGGGTAGAGCAGAAACAGAGGTCGCTAAGGTATTTTAAGCATTTAAAAAAGCCTAAGAACCCATACATATCCCGTCATTCCTGATAACTCCACACGGGCTAATTAAAAACCATTAGGTGTGATGTTTTCTGCTGTTCACAGTTTTGACTTTGGCTTCGGCTGTATCACAAATCGTATGGCTAAACTGTGGAGGCAGACTGGCTCAGCGCTTAAGGGCACAGGCTTTGGGCACTGCTCTTTATTAGCTGTGTGACTTCGAGCAAGTTACTTCATCTCTCTGCGCACATTTCCTTATCCACAAATTGGAAATGACGGCTACTTCAGGGGTAGAAGTGTTATCATTTGTCATTAAATTTTAGAAAATTAACACAAAGCCATTAGCAATGGTGCAATAGTGGCTATAATAAGCAGCTTATCTACCAAAACATGCCGTTTGAAGAAGAGAAAACAGTAAAACAAATGTGAGGTGCTGGTCTCATACCAGAAGATCAGTAACGTTAAAAATGAACTTTAATCTGCGATTTCTAAGGAATCTTAGAAATAAATTCTTCCGGGTATGACAAGGATAAATCTTGATTCAGGGCCCTAATCAGTAAGTGCCTCCCAGCCCCGCCCCTCACCACGCCCACAGGGTAGCCCCGCCCCTCACGACTCTCAAGACCCCGCCCACGTCCCCAGGCCCTTCATCTC